AGTTATATGGCGTTAGAGGTAGTAGGTAGGCAAATTTTTACCTTTAGGATAATCTAGGCCTCAGGGGAGAAGACTGAGTAAGTATAGAGGTAACATTCAAGGCAGGAGAGCAGTGAGCTGAGCCCAACTTGGTTTGGGGGCAGACTAAGTAGACAGTTTGTTGCATGGTATTTCACCGAGGAGAGCAATGAGACTAGTCAAGTTGGAGAGGGCCTTAAATCTCAGGCAGAGAAGTTTGATTTATCCTCAGAGTGAAAAATCCACAAGCAGATAATTTTTTTTTTAATGGCCTAGTTTACCTTTATTGTTTTGACTGATGAGCATCCTAGGGTTTCTTTTTTAAAAAAATTATTTTTTATTGATTTCAGAGAGGAAGGGAGAGGGGGGGAGAGAGAAAAATGTCAGTGATGAGAGAGAATCATCAATCGCTGCCCTCTGCATGCCCCTGAACCCAAGCATGTGCCCTGACCAGGAATTGAACCCAACCTCCTGGTTCATAGGTTGAAGCTCAACCACCGAGCCATACTGTCCAGGCCACAAGCAGGAGATTTTATGTGTAAATTAGTACTTTAGGAAAATTGATTCAGCTGGGTGGTGTACAGTCAGGAAGAGAGAAAGCAGTTGGAGGACTATCATAATCCTGGGAAGGAGCCTCTGAGAAGTGGTGGCAGTGCAGAAACTGGAAGATGGGAGTGATCTGAAGAAACATAAATAGAATTTGGTAACTGTTTTTTGTGGGAAAGGGGTAGATAAGAACAATGTATATGTTTTTAATCTGGATTATAGCAGGAGGAGAGCTGGGTTTGGTTAGTTTCTGATATATCTCTCCAAAGGGATACCTGGGTGGAAATTTTTGAAGAGCACTGAGTCTAGCCCCACATTCACAGTTAATACTGAATACAGAGAATTTAAACAACTGGTTTAAGTAGTAAAACTTGGTGTAGAGCCCATTCTTTTGACTGTCATTCAGTGCTCTTTCTACTGTATTATATTGCTTAGGAGATGGGTTTAATGGTTAAAAGAGCAGATGCCTGGGAAGTGAAATGGGAAGTCCAAGACCACATTATGATGAGGTTTAACCACAAGCTGTTTCAGTTCTGCATAGGTTTTCCTCATATTTAGACACTACGTATGTACACATCTCTCTATCAGGCTCATAATGCAACCGTGGCTCCGGTTTCTTCAAGCTGTCTTCCTCTGAGATTCAGTTCTTCATAGTCAAGGAAAAATAATCCTCCAAATTTTGGATTTAATTGCATTTACTCTCCGAATTTTAGTTTTGAAGATGAAAGAGTTCTTCCCCCTGTGTGTAGATAGGTTGCTTTGATTACAAGCTGTCAGTGAAGTAGCCTCAAAGGCCCCATTAGTCTTTCTGGAGTAAAAGGAGGAGAAGAGTTTTGGACCCAAATCTTTCATGTTTGTTTACCCTATCAGCAGTTAAGAAAAATTTACTTGCACTGATCTTATTACCTAAAAAAAGCCAGTTGCCGAACCGGTTTGGCTCAGTGGATAGAGCGTCAGCCTGCAGACTCAAGGGTCCCGGGTTCAATTCCGGTCAAGGGCATGTACCCTGGTTGCGGGCACATCCCCAGTGGGGGGCGTGCAGGAGGCAGCTGATCAATCTCTCTCATCAATGTTTCTAACTCTCTATCCCTCTCCCTTCTTTTCTGTAAAAAATCAATAAAATATATATTTTTTAAAAAAGCCAGTAAATACTGTGGATCAAAATTTTTTTAATTAATTTGCTAATGGGAAGTTTTTAGGGAATTGAACAGCCTTCTAAGAAATTATGTGTGTATATATATATATATATATATATATGTATATATATATATTTTTTTAATGTGTTTATTGATTTGAGAGAGAGGGGAAGGGAGAGGGAGAGAGAGAGAAACATTGATGTGTGAGAGTAACATTGATCAGCTGCCTCCTACACACCCTACTGGTGATCAAGCCATAACCTGGGCATATACCCTGACTGGGAATTGAACTGGCTATATTTGTTTTTTAAATATGTATACAGGTATATTTAAGATGCAACTCATTCTCACTCTTCTCTTTTTCTTTTTGTTAATCCTCACCCAAGGATATTTTTTCCATTGATTTTAGAAAGAATGGGAAGGAGGGAGGGGGGGGAGGAGGAGAAAGAGAAACATTGATGTGAGAGAGAGACATTGATTGGTTGCCTCCCACATGCACCCTGAACAGGGCTGAGGATCAAACCTGAAATCTAGGTACATGCCCTTGACTGGGAATTGAACCCATGACCCTTTGGTGCATGGGCCAACACTCTAACCACTGAGCACACCGGCTAGAGCTCCTCTATTTTTCTTTTCAACCAGGCTTTTAATCTGTCTGATATCAGATACCTGAAGACTCAAAATAGTATTTTCTGGATCAACTAATACTTATTATGTAGGTACTATAAGGGCATCATTATTTAATTTCATCTGCCAAGATTAAATATTCCTGGATTTTATGACTGGGTCCCTAGTAGTAAACATCTAGTGCTTGGCTTCTGTAATTCTTATCCCATCTTAATTATTGCCATGACTCATCTGTTATAACTTCTGATCTGGCTGGGTATTAAAGGGAAGAAAACTTAATAGTGAGATCCTACCCTGAGTTATACTAAGCACTTTATATATTACCTCATTTAATACTCATAATAATTACATATGATAGATTTTTTTAAAATAGATTTTATTGATTTTTTACAGAGAGGAAGGGAGAGAGAGAGTTAGAAACATCGATGAGAGAGAAACATCGATCAGCTGCCTCCTGCACATCTCCTACTGGGGATGTGCCCGAAACCAAGGTACATGCCCTTGACCGGATTCGAACCTGGGACCCTTCAGTCCGCAGGCCGACGCTCTATCCACTGAGCCAAACCGGTTTCGGCTGATAGATATTTTTAAACCTATTTAAAGGTTAATTCATTCAAAATATTTATTATTGTGTTAAGGGAATACTTATTAGTTCATCCAAAATAGTTAAGCACTGTTTAAGGTGCTGAGGATAACACAGTGAATATGAGATGAGGTTCCTGCTAAGGCACAGAGAAGTGCAATAACTTGCTCAAGATCACACAGCAAGAAGTGGCTCAGTGGTTGAGCATCACCCTATGAACCAGGAGGTCAGGGTTCGATTCCCTGTCAGGGCACATACCTGAGTTGCTGGCTTGATTCCCTGTGGGGGGCGTGCAGGAGGCAACCAGTCAAGGATTCTCTCATCATTGATGTTTCTATCTATTTGTCCCTCTCCCTTCCTCTCTGAAATCAATAAAAATATATTTTAAAAAAAGAAAGTGACAGAGCTAGGATTTAGAAATACATCTGATGGATTCCCAAGGGAATGTCTGCAACCATTATCAGATTATACTGCCATTTGCATATATTGCTGGTTCTCTGTGATTATATAAATAAATCAAGTGATAAAAATAGGTGGAACTCCCAATATTTCTTTGTTAAAAAGGTTCTTGATGAATTCAAGAAAGAAATCTGCCTTGGTGCTGACAAGCACACCTGCCCAATAATGCTTTTCCTCTCTTCCCCTCCCGTTTCCACTCCCTCTTTACCCACTCATACCTGGGGATAAACTGGACAGTGTGACCTGCTTTGGCACTTGAATGTATTTGTGCTTTGAGGACTGGGAGAGTTTTGTTTGTTTTCTTGGCTTCCTGAATGTTCCTTGCCCACTTGCAAGTTCTTTCTTGTTGTACAATGGTGAGTAATGTGTTGTTAACATTGTAATGTAGTCATGCCAGTTGGAATATTCCCCCCCCCCCCCCCCCGCCCCCTTCTCTCTGATGAACCTCGGGTCAAATTTGCCTTCTGTGATTCACTCAAATAGAGAAGGCTTTTTGTATTCAGATGACTAGGAAATAGTCCCGAGGTTGGGAAGACTATTTAAAATCCAATGTCTTCTGCCCAGATGAAATTCATTTGTTAGTTAGCATTCTAGGTTTATTCTCTGACTAGTGTGATTCAAGAAGAGTATTTGTTTTAGATTGTGGCCATTATCACAGTGTGCCATACTGGGAAGAATGGTGTTTATTCTGGAGTTAGGAGCTTAAAAATAGACACAAGGAATTTTTTGGTGAGTATTACCTATTAGAAAGCATTAAAAATGCTTTCAGTCTGTGAGAGTGAAGAGCTGAGTTCCAGTAGGAATTGAGGTCCAGTTGAGTTCTAGGGATTACTTAGGTAGGATCAAGATTGCAAGTATTAAAACAATTTAGTATTGTGGATCCAGTCAGTTTAGTTTTGGGGATTCAAGTGTATCTAGGCATGCTCATGAGGTAAATGAGATGATTTATGTGGCTGTGTCTAACCTAGTGCTTTTATTGGTGCACAATAAGTGTTTGTTAAATCTTAAAAAAAGGTACTTGAATGCTAAGTGTGTTGTCAGTTTGTCTTTCTTGGGCAGCTTCCTCATTGTTAAGTATTTCTTCCAAAGAATATTTATTGAGCCTTAAATTATGGGTAAAACATTTGGGAAAGGGGTTGGGGTAACAAAGATTTATAGTATCAGATTCTTGCTGAGACTGTGGTCTTAACATTTACAACTTGAATCAATTAGGCCTAGCATTTAAGGACACATTTAAGAGGAAATTTATGATTTTGGCATTGCTAGAGTCAATCGTCTGCTTTTTTTATAGAAATAACTTGACCCTTTGGTAGAATTGAAAATACTTGCTTTCCAATTCCAGTTAAACTGGGTTTAATTTTTGATATTTGAGATAGTTGCCTATGATGTTTCCTCTTATCCTCTCTCCATCTTTTTCATTGAACGGTGTAATGTATTTTAAAGTCTTTCGTGAACTGCAAGCTAGCAGTTGCTCTCATCACCACTATCAATAATAATATTACAAATATTAATTGGGTAGGACTCATAAGGGTTGGTTTTCTGGATTAATTTCAAGAAGTAGTCAGAGGAAAATGGGATATTTGCCAGATGACTTGTTTACTAATTGATACTTTATGTACTTTTTGTGGAAGGGAGAAGGAAAAGCAGAGACCTGTCACCCTGAAAACTTGGCCTGGTGCTATGTCATCGTGAAGAATTGCCTATATTGCTTTGACCAACTGTATGGTGGCAAGAAAGTGTAACAGGATTTGTCACATGTTTGACCTGCGAGGCTTACAGTGCATTCTACTGGAAGCATCTTTCTACAGAGGAAACAACTTATCTCAAATTGTTGGTAAGATCAACCACAAAATGGATCTTAAATAATAAAAATGTATCAGTCCAGGACAGTATCTGTCGGGTCTCACTAAGTAGTAGGATTAGGGAAACAGTATCTTTGACTCAAATATTTGGTTAGTTGTTATCATCAAAAATCTTTACAGCCAACTTTTGATGGTTGGCATTCTTGGAGAAGAACATGTGGTTTTAATAATTCAAAAGTGCAAGTTGTTTAGTAAATTTTGAAAGGATCTCTTTTTAGAATTTCCTCATTTTCTACCCCCGTTTCTGGTGCCTGGCACTCAGTAAGTCTTCGTTGAATAAAGGAAATTAGTTGATACCTATCTTGGGGTTGACTCTGGAACCAGCCCATTAGATGAACTTATAGAAAGCAGGGATAATGACTTACTGGTTGCTGTGTCCCCTTCACTTAGCAGACTGCCTGGCCCAGAGTAGGTCCTTAATAAATGCTTACTGAATGAGTGAGTCGGGAGGTTATGGTTTTCATTAGGGGAAAATTGCAGTGACCTGCATGCAGCTGTGTTGATGGTGGCCCTTCCTTAAAAGGAAGAAATGTAACTTTCCTACAAATAAATATGAATAAATGTGACCGTGAAGAAAGTGATTGCTTTGATGCGTCCAGGCATTTTACCCCTTTAGACAGAAGTAATTTGTTAAAAGTTGGTGTTTTATTTATTTCTTGTTTTTTTGTTGTTTGCTTTTTTAAATGTTTTATCCTGTTCAGAATTTAGTTATTACTTTGATTTCTTACCAGTTAACTGCCACAATATTTTGAATTTAATTAAAAATGGTCCACCGCTTGTGTCTATAGATGTGTATTGCATACAAATGGTTAGTAGCATATGGCTCAGTGGTTGAGCATTGACCCATGAACCAAGAGTTCATCAGTTGATTCCCAGTAGGGGCACATGCCTGGGTTGCTGGCTCGATCTCCAGTAGGGGTGTGCAGGAAGCAGCCGATCGCTTTCTCTCTCTCTCATCAATGATTCTATTTCTCTATCCCTCTCTCTTCCTCTCTCTAAAAAAAAAATCAAAAAAAAATCAATAAAAACATATTTAAAAAAATAAAATAAATGGCATAGTTGCTAACGTGCTTTAAAAACAAAAATTTACAGCAGATGAGAAACTATTCTCTCTGTGGACAAGCTGTACAAATATATTTATTTGTTCATATAGACCTTCATTACATGTCTATGGGGTGAATGATGACATTTAAAACCAGTAAGTAATTTACATGTCTATTTTTAATTTTTTAAAAATACGTTTTTATTGATTTCAGAGAGGAAGGGAGAGGGAGAGAGTGATAGAAAGAGAGAGAATCATTGATCAGCTGCCTCCTGCACACACTCCCACCGGGGAACAAGCCCGCAACCTGGGCATGCATCCTTGACCAGAATCGAACCTAGGACCCTTCAGTCCACAGGCCAACGCTCTATCCACTGAGTCAAACCGGCTAGGGCTCCCATGCCTATTTTAGATATAGATTAAATCTCAGTTATCCACACATAAGGGCTAACATGAATAATTTAGGTCCACAAATATTTATTAGGCATCAACTATGTGCCAAGCAGTTTGTTAGGCACACTTAAAAATTTTAAAAGTGTAAAAGAAAGGTGCCAACCTACAGATCTGAATTCTATTTAGAATGTATCTTGTTCTCCAGCCTGGTAAGCTCTTACATATCCTAAAGACTCAGTTTGAGAAACTTCCCTAACCCATCCAGCTAAACTGGTTGCTTCCTATACCTATTCCTGCACCATTGGGTACTAATAACATGTTTAGATTTCTTTCTTCAGACTGGAGTGCCTTGAAGGTAGGATTGTGGCTTTTCTTCTTCATTTGTATCCCCAGGCCCTAGAGCAGCACCTGGTACGTGGTGGATTCAGTTTGGTAAATTTTGAATGAGTGAATGATAGTCAAATTGGAGATAAGATGTGAATATCAGGAAGGCCAACTAATATTACAAGGCACTTTATGATAACAGCAAGTGCCAGTAAATGTTTTACATACTGACCTATAGGTGTTCCAGCGAGGTTTATATATGGCCAGGAAAGATGGAATTATGGAACTTGCAGAAGGAGAATTGAACTGAATTATATAAATTTATAAAAGGCAAATTCTTTGTTTTGTTTTTTAATCCTCATCTGAGGATATGTTCATTGATCTTCAGGAGGGAAAGTGGGAGAGAAAGAGAAAGATAGAAACATCCATGTGAGAGAGAAACATTGATTGGTTGCTTCCCATACTCGCCCCAACTAGGGACTGAACCCACAACCTAGGTATGTACCCTGACCAGGAATGGAACCTGTGACCTTTTGGTGTATGGGACGATGCTCCAACCAACTGAGCCACATTGGCCAGGGCAAGGCAAGTTTTTAAAAATTGTTTGAAGCTTTAAAAAGTTAGTAGTTATATGCCGAAGGAAGTTAACTTACTAGAAGAAATTTCCAAGTGAATGTATTTCCTATGTGTAACTAATGGCAGATAGTACAGTAATTGGCAGTTTTTAATTTTTTTCCCCCAGACAATGAAAGAGAAACTTTATTGAGGCCCTAAGACTACGGGATTCAGGCAGGAGGCTGCCCTGTGGGCTGAAGAGGTGGTAGAAGGGCCTTATTTAACCTTCTTGGAGCACAGGTTGTTGGTGTGGCCGCTCTTCTTGTGGCATTTGGCAGGGGTACAGTCAGGGTAACAATATAGTCATTTTGTGCTTCAGTGTCTTTGTGGCAGACCATCTTGTTGCAGTGTTCTGGGCGAGCTGACAGAGGGAGAGCTCGATGATACCACCCCGCAGATGAAACAGCAAGTGCAGGATGGACTCGTTCTGAATATTGCAGTCTCAGAGAGTATAGCCATTCTCCAGCTGTTTGCCAGCAAAAATCAACGCTGCTGGTCAGGCAGGATACCCTCCTTGTCTTAGATTTTAGCTGTGACCTTCTCTTGAGGGTGACGGTTTTGCCAGTCTGGGTCTTCACAAAAATTGCATCTCTGCCTCCTCTGCCTCATGGAAGAGAAAGAGCTAATTGAAATTTTTTTCTTTCTGTCACTTCTCCCCTTGAATGGAACTTCTATAACTGACAGTGAAATGCCCTCTAATTAGGAATAAAAAAGGGAGAGAAGTCCTAGCTGGTTTGGCTCAGTGGATAGAGCGTCAGTCTGCAGACTGAAGGGTTCCGGGTTTGATTCTGGTTGAGAGCACATGCCCGGGTTGCAGGCTCGATCCCCAGTATGGGGCATGCAGGAGGCAGCCAATTGATGTTTCTGTCTCATCATTGATGTTTCTCTCTCTCTCTCTCTCTCTCTCTCTCTCTCTCTCTCTTCCTTCTTCTCTGAAATCAATAAAAATATATTTTTTAAAAAGGGAGAGAGGGTTGTTATTGAATGTTTAAGGATTGATTCTAGAGAAACAGTGTATTTTGCTACTGGACTAGCCTCTGGTGATTTGTAGTATTATTTTTTCTCAAAAATTCAGTAATCAGAATCTTTAAGGGCTCAAGTAGAATTTTTGTTTTTACAGGTTGTTTTTTTTAAAGTTGAATTTATCAAGAACCAAACCTTGGAGTATCCTTGGCCCTACCTGTAAGGAAAAACAAAAAATTCATTGTGTGTGGCAAATAGACATACTGGTCTGGACCTAAAAAAATAAACATTAACATGATTGCTGTTTCTATTCAAGTTACTGTTGTTGTGCCAATGTTATAATAACAGGCTTTCTCTATGACTCCCTCTGCCTTTATTTTTCCAAAGGTCAACTTCCATTGTCCAAGCTTTCCAAATTATTAAATTTCCCAAATAACTGTAATCCAAGGAGCCTTTTATCAGTAGCACTGAAAAGACAAATGCCAGTTCATCAGAAGTTCTCTGTGAACTTCTTCGTGATCTTTATATTAGCCTTTGACTATTAATGAGACTTGTCTCCAAGAGATTTGTTTTGCTATTTGTGGGCCTGATTAAAAAAACTAGAAACTCTTGGGGGGAAAAAAAGTTAAATCTTGTTCTGACACAGACACATACCAGTAATAGTGATGGTATGTATCCACAATGGCATATGGTAAACTAACAGATTGTTTGGGGAGTGGTAAATTATATGATTGCATTGAGTATTTTTCTCTTAAGTTTGATTTAGGGGAGAAAGTAGACATTCCCTGAGTATATACTGTAGTGGAGGTAGGAAACATTCCAGTATTATATATGGTGAGTAGGAGATGTAAACATTTCTTTCCAACAATTCAAAAGATAGATAACATGTATGAGAGTAAAGGTCTTTACAAAGATAAAATCTTTGAATCTGGAATGAGTAGAGAAATAAGGAGTAAAGGTGGGGAAGTAGGACTGGTAGATTAAGACATTAGAATTTCAGTAAATATATAGTGAAATTGATGTTCCTGGAGATTTGGGAATGAATGTAACTGTCTGTACATCTAGGAGAGGACAAACCTTTTTCTCTTGCTTTTATTTTTGAGGGACTTTCTGGTAGAAGGTACAACTAAGGGACCCCCTTTATGACATTTTTCTTGAAGGCTCAGAGAGTTGAAAGACACTGGAATGGGGATGATAGAGACTGGGTGCAGGATTAGAGGACTGGAAGATTTGTTTGGGAGGAATAGAGGGAGTGTTTGAAGGAAAGATATAGGGTCTGTGTTGGACACCAGTGGAATGAAGCAGAGTATGTGGGAGAGAATTAGATAAAAGAAGGCAACTGATATTGTTTGAGGACTTAAGTGTGTGCTAGGCACTGCCCCAAAGGCTTTACATATATTAAGTCACTTAATCCTAACAAGAAGTCTGAAATGCAGATATTTTCCCCATTTTATTTATTTATTTTTTCTTTTTAAAAAATATATTTTTATTGATTTCAGAGAGGAAGGGAGAGGGAGAGATAGAAACATCAATGATGAGACAGAATCATTGATCAGCTGCCTCCTGCACGCCCCCTACTGGGGACCGAACCCACAACCAGGGCATATGCCCTTGACTAGAATCAAACCCAGGACC